GAAATTTAATAAGGGATATTCTGTGCTCCACAACTGACTGGAAGTTATTTCCAGTAATAGATTTCTTCAGTGTAAAAAGAGGGGAATATTTTGGGCTACATGTATAAGAGGGTTGTCAGAAATACCAAGCATGTATAAGGAATTGTAATGAGGGGTGACTTACTCTAAAATGCTCATTGAGCCTGAGTAAATATACCATGTTCAGTAGAATTAGTGAATATTTTCTTGTAATGCGATGATCGCCTCACTAGAAGAAAACTACAGACTTAAAAATACGCCATCTTTGCATTTTGGTTTAATCCGGTCACACCTCTCAAAAAGAAAAAAGTTATGTGTTTTTCTATAAGTGCCTCAATTCTCTGTTTGCATCTCAAAATTGGCTTTAGGGTATCTTTCATCATATCACACAGAGGTGAAGGTAACCAGCCCACAGCACAGACTCTGCCCTCAAATTGCAGCTCCAGGCACATTGGAATGTTTCTGTCCCTCAGCTGCTGCAGGGGCTAAACGACCCCTGCTTTACTCTTCTTCCCTGAAAGATAGCCTCTGCTAAGCCACTGTGTGATCCACTAAAAAGGTGTTTCACAGATGTGGACTCGCAGCTCAAGAGACTTTACTATGCGTAATAGCAAACCATTATTGGATCCTATGTTCTAGTTTGTTGCTTTGAACACAGAGCACTTTGACTTAGCACAGACTTGTCATTGTGTGATGTTGTTTTCTGCTGAAGCACAAAATGCCAGGTGACTGTGAAGCCAGTGGCCTCTCTGGGATGAAGCTGTCTGTACATGTTAGTGACGTAGCTAGTCCTAGTGCTTTCACCCTCTCCATATGAGCTCTACACAATCTTCACGCAGCTCCTGCCTTGGTCGAGGCTTTGCAGTCTCTTTCCTGCACATGGACTTCCTGCTTGCCTTTGGCTTCCTCCCTGTTCACGTGTCCCTTGTACTTTTTCTAAATCGCTGGCTTAAAACCCTTCACTAACTCGTAGCAGGATAAAATCTGGGCTGCCCCACCTGCCCAAACTGGTCTCACAATCCCTACTTCCTTCCTTCCTTTCTCCCCTTCCTTCTTCCCCGATATCTGTTTTTTCTTAACTTTCTTCCTTCCGTTTTTCCTTTACATATTCGTTCCTATTTATTGGGTTTCTACACTGTATGTGGCATTGTGTTCAGTGCGGGGAACAAGGTGAGCAAATACAGACAGATGTGTTTTCTGTCCTCCTGGGTACTTACCTTACAGTCTAGGGAGGGCAAGTGGGTTTTATCAGATAATCATCCACATAAACGTTAAATTGCACCTGTCTTAAGTGTTAAAAAGGAGCACGTTGTGCCAGTAGATGTATAATGGAGGGATCCCTCAGCCTGCAGGTGTGACTGTGGAGCTGAGATCTGCAGTGTGAGTGTGAGTTCACCAGGGTAGAGGGGACCTTAAGGGGGTTCTGGGCAGGAAGCACCACGGGGCACACAGTAGGATGTCGATAGCAATAGGTCCCATTCCCTCGTTAAGCATTCACTGAGGACCTGCATGCGAACATGCAGTGTCATAGGTGCTCAATAAATACCTATTGTTTTTCCCATCTAGTTCTCTGCTGGTTCCTAGCATCCTCTTGCAATAGGACTGGGGTCACTTCTTTGTCTGGTATCTTTTCCTCACTTCCTTCTCTCGCTTCTCCCTCCTGCATGTTGAAGGAGGAAGATTTAGGTCTTTCAGAGTCTTCAAAGAAAAATGTCTGTAAGACAAACAATCTACGTTTTTGCTCATCTTGATTTTCTCTTGGTGTGTATGCCAGCCAAATCCCTATTGTTTTATTTACTCTCTCATTCAATACCCTCTCCCAGGAAGGGGAGAGAAAGGAAACAATGAATTGTCAGGAAAGCTCTCCATGCCAACATGTCATTTGGTTTAATCTTCACAAATGTCCTATGGGTATGTATTAGCATCCCTAATTTTACATATAAGGCAAGAGTTAAGGAAAAGTTAAGTGACTTACCCAAGGAACCCAGAGAGTAAATGGCAGAAATGGATGCTATTGTTAGGTTTATGGAGTTGCTTTATCATGATCTATGCTCTGCTTCCACTATCACATTCCGGATGATATGCTGCCACTGTCAATATAAGATTTGACATTGGAGATGATCCTGCCTTACCTCCTTAGCTGATCGTAGAATGTTGTTACCTATGTGGGATTCCAGATTACCTCTTATTCTAACATGGGTATAAAGTATCTATTTGGGAGAAACGCTGAAGAATCATTAGTCAATGAGTACGGGAAATCTGTTCACAAAGGGTGCCTTTAATGGGAAGACTATCAAGGGTGCCTAGTTACGGGGAAAGTGGCTACTGCACATTATCTTTATCACACCACGAGTAGCTCATCCCTGAGCTGTTTTCGTGAATACTTTGGTTCAAAGCCACAATTGGTGGTCTCCAGGCCACCAATTAATTAATTCCAATTAATTCTGGTATGAAAAAGCCTGGAAATGAATACGGCCTCTGTCACACTAATCAAGGGATGCCTCCAAGGCACCCACTTCTCAACGGCACTGAGAGGAGACCTGGGTCCAAAATCCATACTAACTTCTCACTGAGCGGGAAAGGGATTTCTGACTGCAGGAGATTTTTCTCTCGAACTTGGCCTCCATTATTGGCTGAAACAGTCACCAGCAGTGCCAATTAAATATAATCCATTTCAAGCTAGCAGACATTTTGGAGCACCAAGACACAGAGGGTAGGGTCCTGCCATTTCTTAAAACAAACAGGATTTATCACGGCTGAATTTAAAGAATTGATCACCCTTATGAAAATGGTTAAGGTAAAGGGGCACGTAGAGCAAGCTCTCCAGTGTCTACAGGCAAATTTCAGACTCCTTAGGGTGGAAATCAGAGCTTACAAAAACTACTCGTTACTTATCTCTCTTGCATCCCCTCCCTTCCCCTCCTTCCCACCTCATGCCAGACGTGCTGACTGATTCGTGTTTTCCAAAGACCACGTGCTGTTTCTTGCCTCCTTGGTTTATGTACACTGCACCTGCTCTCTGGAGCACCCTATTCTCCTTACCCATTTGGAAAAATCTTAATAATTCTTCAACTGAATAGTCACCTTTAAAAGCCTTCTCTGGCCATCCCCCCTCCAGGCTAAGTGCCTCTTCCTCTCTGCACGCATAGAACCTGGTGACTCTATCCTATCTCTACACGGTTGCCATCTTTTCTTCCAGGCCCGTCTCATCTCATTCAATAGCGTCCTCCCGTATATGTATACGTATAGCTGATTCACTTTGCTGTACAGTAGCAACTAACACAGCATTGTAAAGCAGCTATACGCCAATAAACATTTACAAAAAAACAGTGTCCTCTTGGCAGGCAGACGGTGCCTGTCCATGGCTGTATTCTAAGTTATCCTGATGTGCATGGGCCTTTAAAGATGCTTAATACTTGATTAAACAAATAATAAATTAATTAAAGGTTATTGGATGAAATTATTTTACTGGATGGACTAGACGGTGATTTCTTATCTCAGAACGTGGCAACAATAGTTCTGCAACAGAAGCTGTCCTTACTGCCTTGCTTCTTTCCATCTGAACACCAGGATTTATAAGATAAAATAGTATGTGCTGCTCTGCCTGCACCTCGCATTAGCTGACTTATTCCTTGACTTATTTTTTTTCTAATAAATATAACATTGTGGGCCCCTGACACTGTCTTGAGGAGGTCGCATTGCAAAGACTGTTAGAAAAATTCACCCAAATCACAAAATGAAAGAGAGATAATTCCCCTTTGGTTACCATCACTGCTGAGCAGGTACAATTTGCTACTGCTACATTTATTTTTAGAACATAAAACCAACTTTGTCATAGGGTACTCTTTCGCTGATTAAAATTTATTTTAGCTAAGGTACAAGGTGGGATATATACATTAGGGATGCCAAGTGGAATCATAGCATTTGAATGAACTTTTGTGTTTCCTTGGCTGTCGACAAAATGAAGCAGAGTGTGGGCTAAGTCATATTTAACAGTCATAAAAAGTACTGTTCTGGAATCAGCTGTTTACTCCTATGTCTGCTTTGCTCCTATGTCAAATATTTTAAAATCTTACTTACGAATTCTAGAACGAGAGTCTGCTCTACAATTATTTAAATCTTTATCATTTCATGGATAATAATTTAATCAAACGGTTTTACATTAATTTAAATGCAGAAATATTAGCTAACTTGACAGTTTTTGAATAAAGATTAACATTGGAATTAAAAGTAACTCAAAGCTTCCTTTAAAAATTAAAAAAAGAAAGCCAAGTAAGTATGCTAGGCCCATAAGTTAGTTATTTGGACTTTTATACAAATGTCCACATCCAAAGAACTGCAACTTGCTTTCACTTGAATTGTTATACAGGGAAATATCCCTACTATGTCATCATAAATCTCCCTCCAGAGTTACTGCTCAACATGGCAGTTAAGAGTGTTAGGTTTCCATTCAGTGCTCTCAGATTTATTTCCCCCTGGACATGAATACTAAACTCCAGAAACTATTAGAACGATGGGTGAGCAAGGGACCTACATTTTTTTTGAGTGAATCTAACATATTGAGTATAATATTGTATCTGATTGATACACAAGTGAATGAATGAATGAATGAGTGGCCTTCCTGGTAATTGGAAAACAAACAAGCTCAGGAAGTAAAAATAATTTATGTTATGGACTAATTGCTCTATGAGAAAGAAATAGGCTGGGAGACTGCTAAAGTTCATTTCAATTAAAAAATGCTGAAATATCTTCATAAAACTGTGCAATATCCAGGAAGCCACAGAGAACACAGATGTTTTTCCATCTTTATGGGCATTGTCTAATTAAATTAGGATTTAAAATATGTGTACTGAACATAAGCAAAGTAGGATAGATAAATAGGTTGATAGATTATATTTAGATAGATAGATGATGGGTAAATAGATGGATAGATAAATTATACAGAGTGATTTTTTTTTTTTTTTTTTTTTTTACTTTGAGAAGTTAAGTCTTCTATACTTCAAATATATCTATGTGGCTGTCTGAGCTTGTAGGCATACTCCATGATAACCAAAAGGTATTTGTTAAAAATGTAGTTTATCTCTTTTTTTTATTCTAGTTTCAATTGCATTATAAATAAATTAACCCACATCAAAAAGAAGAGAGGGAGGATAGCCAGTGTCTTATACCATATGTGGTTCTAATGCTTTCTGCTTAGGCAAAATTCCTTTGGATGTGTTATTAGTGTTGCTAGAAATCCTTTCCTCTTACCTCTGTGTGCAGACTTGAGTCTCAGGTGCACATTGAGGTATATGGTTTCCATCTCATAACGATCCAAAATTCAACTGTACAGGTATTCTTTGTTCTCAACAAACCAGTGTATTAGAATAAAGAAAATTACAAGATTGCTTTTTAAAAAACTACGTATTTATATAACGCAGGACACATTAATAGCAAAATACAAAAGAAATCATTTCAAAAACATAACCAGTTATAGAATATATATGAATGAATTTTTGGTAAACTGGTAATCTGGTGAATTGGTTATTTGATAAATTGCAGAATTTGGGGAAGTGTTAACTTGCAAATTAATCTGTAGTCCTTTTCCTAAGATCTTTTAAAATGAAGACTGTCATGTAATGCCCAAGCACCCCAGCTCTGGAGTCATACTGCCAGAGTGCCTATCCCAACTCTGACACTAACTGGGTGATCAGATGATTTCCTCTCTACCTTGGTATTAATGTGATGGCTAGATGACTTAATCTGTGTAAAGTGCTTATCACAGTACCAGGAATGCAGAAAGCAGTGGAGTAACTCTTGTTAGGAATTTCGGAGCTGAGGCTTGGAATCTACTCAGCCTGATCATTTTATCTTTGAATGTTTGAAAGTGTCATCAATAGTACAACTTGTGAGGGATCAGAATACACTTCAATCCCTAAGCTTGTGCTATGATTTTAAGTAGAATTTTTTACTATGTATTTTTTATAACTATGAGTTGATTTACTTTTCTAAAAGAATACTTATGGGTTTCGGCTTGCAGTCCTAATAATTAAGAATCATGTGGTTTTACAGTTAATTCAGTTCATTTTCTTACTTTAGTCTTGCTTTATTTTATGTCCTTCCCTTAACCTTTATCACTGGCTTTTTCCTCCTGAATTAGTGGTCTGCACTACTCTGTCACTCAAATATACCCATAATTATATTTATTTGGAATGAAAAATATCAGATACTAGATGCCATCTGATTAGCAACATCTTTAAAATGTGTTGTGGTTATTGTGACTTTATCAGTTTGCAAAAAGTATACATTGAGAATGTAGATTAGCTATTTTCAATATTCATGGGAATATTTTGTGGTTCAGAAAAATGCATTTCAATGGAAACATCTACACCCACTCACACTAGAAGACTTTGCCAGCAGAAGGTTTCAGGTCAACAGTGTCGGCAACGACCAAAAGCCTAAATATATACTTTAACTTACGTTAACTTTTTAACATATTTTCCAACTCCTCTAAATTTCCAGTGATTTTGGAGCCTTAACTCATTATTATAAATGTATTATTCTTTTTTTTAATGTATTATTCTTTTAAAAAATCATAAATGACAAAGATACAAAATGTAAATTGAATTTTAGAAAAAGTTTAAAAGCTTCTGATAAGGTTTGTAATAAGATCGTGGCTATTTTATACAGTGTTTAAAATTCTTAAGTCTGTTATTTGGCAGAGCACAGAAGAAGCTAAGAAATTATTTCAATATTTGTCTTAATTTAGCTATAGAAAAAAGCAATAATTTAATTAGTATGCCTGTTTAAGAGGTTACAAATTCATAGATTTTTGCAGTACAGTAAAATGAATGAGCAAACCATTGTATTTGATCTGCTCATTGTGTTGCCATGGTAAGTTCCATCCTGAGTCATCCAAGCCGTCCTATATGTGAGTTTTCCAGACCTCAGTGTCTTTGTCTGCCTAAGAAAGTGACTGGATGAATAGAGCCCTAAGACCTCTCTATTGATGAGTCTTGATCTAAGGCTACCTTAATTCAGTCTGACTAATACTCTTGAGGAAGGCATTTCCTAATACATAATACATTAATAAAACCAATTAATCAATAAGGCTGGCATGTTTAGAGTTTTTTGGTTGTGATTGGAAGGTATTTTCCCATTATGGAAATATGTTGCTTATTTGCTCACTCTTAATCCTACTTATGAATAAGTAGGATTTACTTATTAATCCTACCATAATTAGAACTTGTGTGCTTTTAAAAAATATTTTACATAATCACATTATATTCTATAATTATATTAGGGGCATACACTCCACTCAATAAAATAGTCCAACCGTTGAAAGGTTGTTAATTTTACTCCATACATCCATTTTCAAACATGATCCTCATTCAGGGATATGGAAGTGAAGGGTTTTGACTAACATTCCTAAACCTTTGATGATTTATTATTGTAACTAAAAGATAGCTAGCTAGCTAGATAGCTAGATAGCCCCCAGAAAATTTGCATAATTGTGTCCCTTGGAAAAGCTGGTAGTCAGAAAACAAATCAAATCAGCGCTTGGATTTAACTTGCAACTGCAAGCCAGCAAAGCACTGTAAAAATAAATCTAGTTTTATTGGCATCTACTTAAAGCAGTAGAAACTATTGGATTTTTAATTTCTAGAGATCTTAGGGGACCACATAAGGAGCATCCTTTTCTGAGCGTGCCCTGTTTCTTCCCAGAAGACACACTTATTGACATTTTTATTATCGATTTATTTAGTATGCATGCCTTTCATCTCCACATTTTTCTTCTCTTTCTTCCCCCCACCCTTTCTTTCCAGTATACAGTATGGACTGCCCTCTGGGTCACCTGGAATGTTTTCATTATCTGCTTCTATTTGGAAGTAGGTGGGCTCTCTAAGGTAAGTCCATCATGCTTTTAAAATACACTTTTGAAAAGAATACACTAATAAATAATCTAAGTAACATTACAAGTGGAATACTAATATATATATATATATGTATACAGTAATCTAAGCAACATTACAAATGGATGCTAATTGAAAAAGAGTTTGGATACCATTAGAAAGAATAACCTTGGGAACATGTTAATCCAATGAAACTCTGAAACAATGGCCTTATGATTTAGTTTGTTAAGCTGTCGTGGAACTCAGCTACCAGTGTATCCTCGTGTCCACTTTAAAAAGGCCTAATGTCCCAGTGACCACAGCCCCATATGTTAAGTGAAAAATGGCTTTGAACATTCTTGTGTTTGAAATGGGAAAAGGGATTGACTAAGATGTAAATGTAACAAATATGAATAGCAAATTTCTATCTTTGCTTGAATATTAATTCTGGAAAAATAAAGTTTGTCAGAGGAGGAAATCCTCATTATAGTAAATGGAGCATACGTTTACTGACAACTACATACATCAGTGCAGTGATTCCTATTGTGAAATCCTGATCAGAAAAGAATTGTCTTGATGCAACATGATACAAATATTATTTCTGTCTGTCTAGAACTCATGTCAGCAAAGCACATAATTTTCATTATGACTCTTGCAGAATCATCTTTTGATTACCATCCAAATGGAAGAGCATCTTGGGTTAAGTTTCTAGTTATGTTTCTTAAGCATTTTTCTCATAAACCAGCACAGTTCCCACTTGAAATCGTAGAGAAGAAACCTAACAGTATAATTACAAAAAGAATAAGAAAGCTGTCATCTATCTTCTAGATTTCTTGTTATCAACTATATTTGTGCAAACATTCTATTGTTGTATGATAGTGTCAAATTTTCTTTAAGTAGCATTTGTGGTTTAGATCTTAGAAAATTTGCCTTGACCAACACAGAGACTTTTAGAATTGTTAGGCTCCACTGAAGTCCATACGCTAACAAAGAATTTTTGATTTAGCCAAGCAGCAAATATCCCTGAAGGGTTTTCTCCAGAACCTCCAGAGGTGGTTACTCTTTGTTCTACACTATAATAGCTTTATAATTAGAACTTGTCATCATTTTCTCACATTGGCAAATGTATTCAGGAACCAGAAATGACATTTCTGAGTTACATACAAATGCACCAACATCTACCTTTACCTCTACCTAATTTCTAAGACAGAAGAAAGTACTTAAATCAGTGCCCAGTTATCATCTGTAACATGCAGATTATAAAGTAATTTTAAAATGCAATTTTATGAATAAAATAATTATGGATAATAAGTTAAGCATAGCATTTTTCAACCCATAGCATTTTGTAACTCATGATTTGATTGGTCATTTTAAGTCATACTTTTATTTCACTGGGTGGAAATCATCTTTTATCTCTTTCTCTATTAATTGGTTTGGAATAAATTAGACCAGAGGAAATTTGTTCCATGGAATTGACATCATAGTGTGTTGAAAGAGGACTGAATTTCAAACCATAAGTCTTGGATTCAAATCTTGTCTTTAGTGCTTATAAACTATGGGCCCTTAGGCAAAGCACTGAACCCCGAAAGTCTCTGTGAAATATAAAAACAGGACCAGCTTCACCAATAAAGATAGTAATCAGGGTTTTTTTGGTGTTGCGCATTGTTACCAAATATGGTAACTCAGGTAAGCTGCAAAATAATCCTGTGATGTGATTTTTTTTAATTTTTAAAAACTATAATAATAGTAGCATTGATTTGTTCCCCAAAGGCTGATTTCCCTCCACGGCTCAAGGTAACCTTTGTGAACTGTATCTTGTAACTGCTTTTCTAATATCAATGTGCATGTCAAGGATTTTTTTTTCCTCGTTTCTTTGGGTTCAAGGTTAAAAAAAATGGGTATAGTGGTCCCAGTTACTCATTTTATTACCCGTTCAAATGCCATTAAGCAGTCAACCAAGTATTCTAGATCATAAATAGGATAGATGACTCCAAAAGGAGCATCCTAAAGAGATGCTGTTGGTCTCTATTTACTGTTTCAAAGGCTGGTAACCTCTCCCTGGCTAGCCACAGGTAAGCCTCAATTCCAGCCTGTAGGGAATCTATTCTGAAAACTAGAGCAGAGTTAAGGACCCTTGATAAACCCAAGCACCTCTGCCATTTTTTCCAGGTTGTACCCCATTTCATAAGATATTCCTCGTCCGCGTGTGCTAGTTTATATACTAACTTTCTAGAGCCCTCTGTCTCCTGCTAGTTCATGAAGGCATTTCTTGGAATTACCCACTTGGATAGATTAATAGAAGCCTCCCTCTACTTTGATTTTTGCCCAAAAGGTCCATTCTAAAATGGTGAATCTTTCTCAAAAGACCGGATTCAGATTAATTTCCACCACATCTCTATGGATTCGGGTGTTATTCAATGACAGGCACTACTGAGCCATTCTCGTTAACTAATAGTGTACTCGCCTGGCCATGAGCAAATCATACGTCTGGCCTGTTATGGGGACTCTTGATCACACCCCTCAGATTTTTCCCTTTGCTGTTATCTGCCCATCAGCTTGGCATCATACTTTTGTCACTGTGGTCTTGAAGGTCCTGATTCTCCCCAGACCTTCCAGAACTTGAAGGAAATGGGAATGTGTGCATGTATGGTGAGGTTGAGGATGACTGTGGGTAGGTGACCAAAAGTGCCTGCACTTTCATAATCTACTGGAGCCTCAGTTTCCTTTTCTGCAAAGTGAGGAAGACCACAGCACTAGTTTTATTGGATTGTTGAAAGAATTAAGTAAGATGATTCATACAAAGAACTTAGAAAGGATCTTGGTGTATTGTGAGGTTTCGGTAAAAAGTGGTTTTTATAATTGCCAATCAACATCATCATCTTTATTGAGAAATTAACAGACATCAGGATCCTCATTATGCAAACCTGTGGGACAAATATTTATTACTATGCAAGAGCTGTAAAAGGGAAGAAAATGTGGAACTGAGTGACTTGTTTAAAAAGTATGTAACAGTCCCTTGTGATAGGATCTCAGATCTGCATATTAACTTCACAGCTGTAACACGATTAATTAAACCCTTTCCTTCAACATGGAAATAGCGTTTTTGAAATGCTTCTGCAGCTAGATTCTCCTGCTGTCCCTCCCGCCCCCCTTGGAAGGACTTTATGCATCTTTGGAGGCACTAAGACTGTTTTTCATGCTGTACTTTAAGATCACCAAGGGTACAATTAAGTTATTGCTGCTTCTTTGGAAGTCCCAAGACTTGAAATCATTTTTTTCTTCCTAGGAATCCATTCAGAATGTAAATATGACAACCCAACTCATTTGCTACATTTAAAGCTACTGAAAGACAAGTTATGTTGAGAACTCAAGTTGTGCTTGTTTTTAATCCCCCCAAAATTAAGCTGATGCCTTATGGCATCTCTCTGATTACTCCAAATTGTAGAAACTTTACGCTAATATTTCTTCTAATTGACTTTTCCTGAGAGACGTATGGAACTTACACATTACTGATCCTAGAGAATTTTCAGTGTGTCACATTTTCCTAGAATTCTGACTGTGCGTGACGGTGCATGAGCATAATTTAGACATAAAAAATGAATGTATAGAAATTCTCTGTAGACTTATATTAATCATGAGCTTTGATCAGGGGTTTTCTAAAACTTAGGCAGGAAGCCTGGGGGGGAAATGGACTAACCCTTCCTGATTTCTCCTCTGTACCCTCGTTCACGTTGCCTTCGCACAAAAGGAAAACTACCTATGTTTGTTTCTCTATATCATGTCTTAATGACTGCACTTTTTTCATAGTACCTGATTTGTGGGTATTTTGATTCTTAAAGAAACTTAATTGATACAGCCACTATGGAGAACAGTATGGAGGTTCCTTAAAAAACTAAAAATAGAACTACCATACGACCCAGCAATCCCACTGCTGGGCATATACCCTGAGAAAACCATAATTCAAAAAGACACATGCACCCCAGTGTTCACTGCAGCACTATTTACAATAGCCAGGGCATGGAAGCAACCTAAGTGCCCATCGACAGAACAATGGATAAAGAAGATGTGGCACATATATACAATGGAATATTACTCAGCCATAAAAGAAACAAAATTGAGTTATTTGTAGTGAGGTGGATGGACCTAGGCTCTGTCATGCAGAGTGAAGTAAGTCAGAAAGAGAAACACACTGTATGCTAACACATATATATGGAATCTAAAAAAAAAAAATAAAAGGTTCTGAAGAACCTAGGGGCAGGACAGGAATAAAGATGCAGACGTAGAGAAAGGACTTGAGGACATGGGGAGGGGGAAGGGTAAGCTGGGAGGAAGTGAGAGAGTGACATGGACATATACACACTACCAAATGTAAAATAGATAGCTAGTGGGAAGCAGCCGCATAGCACAGGGAGATCAGCTCGATGCTTTGTGACCATCTAGAGGGGTGGGATAGGGAGGGTGGGAGGGAGACGCAAGAGGGAGGGAATATGGAGATATATGTATACTGATTCACTTTGTTGTATAGCAGAAACTAACAACATTGTAAAGCAACTATACTCCAATAAAGATGTGAAAAAAAAAAAGAAAGAAATTTAAGCCATTTCCCCAAATGGCAATAATAGCACTTTCTCATCCTCTTTTGACTTAAATCATCACTGTTCAGTCGCAGGGGTTCTCTTCTCTTGTGAGACTCCTCAGCTGAATATTTCACCTGAGCAGCCTGGCAGAGGGTCAATGAGATCATTCTTCTTTTTCAAGGCTCACTCTTGTTATCTAGCCTGAGTTGTTCCTCTGTACTTACTAGGAAAAATCTCTTTCTTGATCACGATTCATTTTCCTTCAAGGTGGGATTCTTCCACTAACTTTGGCTTTGGGCAGGCACTTTCAAGTAGGAAACGTTTAGGCAATTCAGAGTTCTGTGTAGAAGTTATTGCACAGGAAACAGAACTCCCAGTCCCCTTCAGCTGCTTACAATCCATCCATTATCCGTCATAAACATTCTAAATATTTTTATG